ACATATTAATCATCGAGTTAACCGATAATACATATGACTGCCGCTAAGTTTTGGTCTGGACATCTAGGAGACTCGGGTTTCTGTTTGGTCGGAGGCCATTTTGTTCGGTCCCTTCTCAGTAATGGTCTGTCCTGCAGGGCTGCTGGAAGTGAACTCCGGGGTCACCAATAAATCAGAGGAGTTCTTCTCCGACATCCAGGAATTCCGACAGGTCAACAAAGAAGAGTGCGTCCATGAGTCCTTATCCGGGTGAGTGTTCCGGGGCAGACACAGGTAACGGGCTGCAAATATGGACACCGCTTCACTTCATCTTATAACTGGCAAAGGAGACGGTGCAAACGGGCAGAGCGACCCACAGAACAGGACAAACATTCCCCAACGTGTACCCCAGCCAGTCGGCACAACGTCACTATTTTAAAGGAAGGGAGGAATGGAAAAATGAATGGACTACAAGTGTGGTGACGTCACTGCACTTGTATTCCATTGAGACCTACAAGTCCCTGTGCCGACGGGATTTGCAGTTTCTCCATTCACAGATCCTGCCTAGGGATCTGTGAATGGATGACGTGGCCCCCAATAGATCAGAAAACCAATGCGTTTTAGAGGTTCACAACTCCCCCCTTCATCAGGGTTTGAACGCTGGCAGTGACAGTTGGTACCGTCAGTCTGGCGACCCGAGTCACTGTCTTAGCAACCTTCTGATTTGCAACTTTTGTCCAGTACCGGCTGAATCACTGCCAGCGTTCAGGCCCTGATGAAGGGGGAGTCTTGAGTTTCTGAAACGCGTTGGATTTTTAACCTCTTGTCATGAAAAATACATTCTTATTGGGCTCGTTCAAGTTTTGTGGCGCTCTCATTCTTTTGATGTACTTCAGAGACCCTGTGGGACACCCCCCCAGGTTATCAGAGAGCTGCCCCTAAACCAGAGGTACGCAGCCTTGGCACTCCAGCTTTGGTGAAACTACAGATACCATCATGCTTCTGCCCCTGGAAGTCATGCCTGTGGCCTTCAGTCTTGCAATGCCTTATGAGACTTGTAGTTCCACAGCAGCTGAAGTGCCGAGGTTGCCTACCCCTGCTCTAAAATACACATAACTTCTCCAACTTAAAATAGGGTTTAAATGGGGATTCTGTTCCGATTGGCTGCAGTGTGTGCTGGGCAATGCGTGTATTGTCCTGCGTTTAATGTGCTGCCCCCTACTGCTGACGAACTGTAATTACAGCAACATGACTCACATTCACATGGATTAGGAATGAAGACTTCTGATTGGCTTATGATTTAGCAGCTCTTTGAATCTCCTAAACGTGTCGATCCGTTTGCATCTAGAGCCGGCCCAGAAGACTCCTCCGGATCTGAGGAAGAGCTGGACGTCTCGCTGGACACTCACCAATGTACGGGAATGTTAAACGTCTGCCTGATGAACATGCTCCGCGTTTCCGAGACTCCTCACTGACGTCTCCGGTTTTCATGTCTTTTAGGTGTTTACTGCTACAGAGTCAACAGCCGCCTCTTCATATCACCCGTGGGGGCGGAGTCTGCCTGTCCGGTGTGTAAGAAGCGCCGGGGCAGGCGCCGCACAACATTGGATGAACCGGCTTATATCAGGTTTGTCTGACGCTTGTTGATGGAGCAATTAAGCTGAACTCCAGGACAATGGTGCAATACCAACGTGTGAAGTGTCTTGCTTTACAGGAGATTGGTAGCTCTGCACAGCCAGTCTTGCGATCCAGGCTCCTGTAGCAGACAGCAGAGGCAGGTCCATGAGGTCATTTTTTTTCCGTTGCAGTTTAGCAGCTTTATCCCCAACCCACCCCAGTCTGGCCAAAGGAGCTGCAGCACAGCAATCATCACTCTGTTAGCTCCTCCTGTCGGCAAGATCCCACTGTTTTAGGTGGTTGTACACTATACATATTGATTGCACAATCTCCTTTCCATTCACCAAAATGATATACTATGAGGACTGACCTGAACCATCGATATATCCACCCAGCCGGGCACTACATACCTAGCATCAGATTGTATAGTGTATGTTCAGCTTGCCATTGTCAGCACTTTACAATGCAGTAGAACATGATTGGCTCACACTGCTGCCCCCCCCCTCTCTCACACTGCTGTGCCCCCCTTCTCTCACACTGCTGTCCCCCCCTCTCTCACACTGCTGTCTCTCTCTCTCTTCCCTCTGTGCAGGGAAGAAGCAAATATAAAGACAGATTCCGGTACTTCTGTTAAAAAGAAGAGAGCGTGCAATACACAACTGGATGAAATGTTATTCTGGAGCTCGGTTAGGGAAATTTCACCACACGGCCGTCCCCAGAGACAGGAAATAAGAGGAAATCTCCCCCAAATCAGGGAAAATCCTTCCTCTGACCTGCTGGAAGATTCTCTCTACAGCCGATTGATGACAACCGTCAGATCTTGGATTCTCTCTCTCTCTCACTCTCTCTCTCACTCTCTCTCTCACTCACTCTCTCACTCTCACTCACACTCACACTCACACTCACACTCACACTCACACTCACACTCACACACACACTAACTAAAGGCGGAGAGAACAAATCACAAAAGCCTGAAACTTTACGTTTTGGCTTGAGGTAAACTTGAAAGAGAACCTGTCTAAAGCAGAATAGTGTGACAAGCCTCATATGGAAGCTGTCGACGTTTGCCTCTATGGCTACGTGCTAGTCGGGGCCACGTAATCAGAGCCTGGCGAGTGGTGTCACATCAACACGCTTATTTGACCTGTTCACATTACTATAGGGAGCCAATCAGATGCCAGTTTTGTGATGTCCGGGGCTCCCAAACCCGCAAAGCATTTAGGAGTGTACAAGATGCTTTTCGGGATTCTGGCCTTCTTACTGACCAGACAAAGGAATTCAGAATACTTTTTGTAGGTCTTTCAGGTACGACGGGAGCAATGGAATTGGCATGGCTCGAAATAAGTATAATGTGTGAGGGAGTACAAACGTTTTAACCAGATTTACTTTACCCGCCCAGGAAACAGGGGGGTGCCATACATTTTTACGAAGCTCCTTGACTTTATGCGGGAGAGGGGAGTCATTCTGAAGAAACTATTTGGTGCTAGGTGAGGTAACCTGTACCCCCAGGTAAGTGAAGGAGCCAGAAGGAGAGATGGATGTGATATTACGCTTACATTTAGGTCGGGCACTAATTCAGCTGCCAGTTTTTCCATCACCAGTCTTGAGTATGAAATGTGATAGGTTGTTATGGGCACCATGGGCAGTACATCTTTCAGACACCTCGATCAATGAGGTCCAGCCTTCTCTAGTATTATTGGCAATGTTCAGTAATGCATCTGATCGGCTTCTTTTCAGGGTCAGCATCCCCAGATCCACCCTGCTCCCTCCATACAAGTACAGAGCTCATCGGAGAAAAAGCTTCGACCCCACAGACACGCTGGCCCTGCCGTCAGTAAGTAGCGCAGTCTCTGCCATGCCAGCTATTGATAAAGACATGCCGGGGAGCTATTGGCTGCTGTCTAAGCTGGCCCTTGTAAGCGGGTGAGATTGGGGCTTTAGATTGTAAGCTCCTTGGGTGCAGGGACTGATGGGAATGTGCAGTGTGTAAGGTGATGGCACTGTACCTGTCATAAATCATCAGAGGCGAACGAGCTGCCAGATCCAACACACCCAAGATGGCTGCCAGCTGGCGTCTGCACCATTTATGGCGGTTTCTCTACCAAAATCCTTTCGTGTCGCAATTTGGTGACTTCAGTTCCAAGAAACCGATTTCTGCAGATAATGAAAATATTCGGCTTTGTTTTCTCAGCTGGACCTATAACCCCCGCGATTGATCCGGAATGTTTCAAGCGGCCGCGAAATGTATGTGGAAACAATGTAACTCTTCACTTCCTGTCTTCCAGCATTGTCTAGCGGGATGGGAAAATGCCGTCCCGTCGTGCGGCCTCCATGTCAGCAGCCTCGACCTGAAGACCGCCGCAGAACCCAGCGTGATGACCACGGCGGCGTCTGCTAATGTAACCGCAGTAAGTTGACATGCGGAGAGCGCGGATTTCTCTAATATGCAAAGATACAGAAAACCTTTCTTGAGGAAATAGAGAGGTGAGCCAGGCAGTCGGCTCTGTCTTGGAAATGCTATATGACTGGGCTGTCACGGTGACCATGTGATCATAGTGAGCCCAGACGTCCCGCAGTCTACATTTTGTGATGGTCACCTGATTATATAGATATGTACTGAGTACGTTGTGTATGTATTATAGCGTCTATAGCATCTTCTAGGGCAGGGGTGGCCAACTGCGGCCCACGGGGCATTGCAAGACTGACAGCCAGAGGCATATCTCCCAGAGGCAGAAGCATGATGTGATTTGTAGTGAAAGTACAGCTGGAGGGCTGGGGTTGCCCACCCGTGTTCTTGGGCCTACATTATGTCTGCTGTGGGTCAAAATAAAAGTAGAACTATGTCCTCCCATGAAGAAAAATATGGACTGCAGCACA